CAGGTCCAGGGCAGAGCAGGGGATCTGCCCTGTAGGAGCCAACTGCTCCATCCTTTACTTCAGATCCATGTCCCACATCTGACTCACTGTTATTTCCAGATAAGGCTTCAGGTGCCCAGGCTGAGGAGAAACTCAAAGGTATTTATAGAACTGCCCAGCATTTGGGCATCTCAGGTTATTTCCATGCATTCTTTCTGTGAATTGTTGTGGTGTCTCCTAAAGCTCCAGAGGGAAGATTGAACTCACCTTGCCTCTTAGTTTCCCCCAAGCCAAGAAAATTTTGTAAGGTAAAAAATCTGCAGAGTCCTCTTGACTTAATGGTTATTCAAATGACAGAGATAACGACTTATATAGATTTTAATTAAGTCCTCTTGACCTTTTACAGAAGTCCCAGAGCCACGTGATGGCTCAGATACCCCAGGGGATAAGTTACTGTGACTGACAAGATGTACTAGCTAATCAGATTGATATTTATATCCCAAAGGAATGCACATGGTGTTTTAGACAATACAGAAGGTTTAGTGCCATACAAAGTAAATCCTTTCAGCTTGCACCTATTTTACTGAAGTGAATTATTTTTGATGTGTGAATTAAAAAAATATAATTTTTTTAATAGCTTAATGATAGCAACAAATGGGCATCTTCATGGTACACTTTGACTTTTAAGAACCTGACCCTGATAGGAATTACCCATGAAGCATTACTCCTGCAATTGCCCTAATTGTCTTCAAATAAATACTAGTACTGGTACATTTTTAATAGATATATCTGACATATCTGGGAATCTAGCTTTGCCTTTATTTCAGATTACTAGGGAATAATTGAGAGTATGACGTGGGCTTAGAGGGGATCTGATAATTGTGTCGGAATTACCGAACATTCAAGAAGTAATCCTCGTGAGAAGCCCACACTGAGATTGCAAAGCCTTCATAGATAGAAGTTTTGGAGTATCTCTCTGGCAAACCAGCGCTTGCCCGTAGGTGGCACCAAAGACAGACAAGTCCAGCCGTGACATCTCCGGGACTGCTTTGGGTGTGGGAAAACGGAGGAACAGAATGAGAACAGGGTAACGGGGTGTTCAGCAGGGGGGAGGAGAAGAGGAAGGAGCAGGTATTTAAAACAAAAAAGTCTAATCTACCAAATCACTTGAAAGACAGGAATATAAAAGACTAAACTGAAAACTCTGAAATAACTCCAGAGGACTTTCTTTTCATGATGATTAAGAAGAGCAGGTTAGTTTGTCTGTCTAACAAAACCAGGTTTTACTGTGTTTGTTTTTGTGCTGGCTAAATATTAGTGTCTGTTAAGGAGATCACTGCAAATATAATATCAGTTTGTTCTGTAGGCCTGGGAGTTAGAGCAGAGAGTTGGTATCCAGAAATACAGTTGATTGATATCTAGTTGTGATGGAACTGATGTGATTCCCTGAGTCAAGTATTCATGTGTTCTACTTGGACATAAATTCCCTTTTGAATTGAGGGTCAGTAACACCTCTGTGACTGCAGGGCAAGGCATTGTCTCAGGGTACCTTCTTTGATATTGTAACTGCTGTGCTGATCTGATTTTCTTTTCTGCAGCTGGATATACAAACCCTCTGATTTTCTTGTTTTCATGAGTGTAGGACATGCAGACAAACAAATGCAAAGTTATGGAGGAGCCATATCCCAGCTGCTGGTGTGCTCTGTAGGCCTTCAGTGCAGTGAGTGTACCAGACAGTCCATACCAATGGAATGGTATCTTTCTGTGCTTGCAAGCAAAAGTAACATGGAAATTAGGCTTGATAAAATGCGAACAGTTCATATTCCACGGTATCCACTCATTAAAATGTTTTTAAATACATGAAAAATTAAACATGAAAATGTTAGGTACGTGTCTGTTCGGGGATTTAATCAAGATGTATCTATTTCAGTAACCAATTCCAGGAAATTAATCCAGCCTTGGCCCCCTCTGCCCACACTGTTTGTGCAAAGAGCTCCAGGCGCCTCTGATGATGCTGCATCAAAGATTTTCCACATGGGCTGGCTGCTAACTTGGAGAAGAAACTTTACCAGTCTATGTGTGCAATGAATGTTCTGACATCCCCTTGCCCTTTCTGTGCTCTCGTACTTGTTAGAAGATGACCGTGAGATTTTGAACAGTTGGAGAGCTGAAATCGAATCTGAAGTTTACAAGTGGCTCTAGGTTGGGATTTCCAAAGGAACACAAAGTTAGGAGGCAGCCAGCTTCCACTAAATACAGGAGATTTTATCTTATGCAAGGTTCTGCTCCTTTTTCGAGACAACCCAAGATTTTGGTTTAAGAGAGATGATGGATTCAGTGGCTAAAGCACTAGGGTGGGTTAGGGATAGTGACCCTGGCCCTCTATATCCTTTTTTTAAAGAGGTTTGTGTTTTGTTTCCCTTAAAGAGGTCATAGTACATCTTTATTTAATGAGAAATATAGGGAGGATTAGAAATACAACCCTACAGGGTGATCAGGGGATTGAGGTGTTTGAGGACTGACAGTCTTTGGGCTTAGTGGAACTCAGATCTGCCACTCACATTTGGGGTTGCTCTTTAGTTGTCTTAAGTAAAGGTAAAACACATGAACAACATTTCCTTTATCCTGGGAATTATGAAGCAGTATTATACAGAGTATTATACTGAGTAGAATGGTTTTACTCTAAACCTGAGAACAGGTGTGAAAATCAGTGTGAAAATACAGGGGGTTGATGGATCCTTTCTGATTTGATGTAGAATAAACAATTTCTAACAGAATTTTGGTATTTAACTCTGTACTCAGCAGTGTTTTGTTTGTGTAAGTCATTCAAAAAAGCTTGATCAGAGGGCTTAATCCTAACTTATCAGATTGCCCAGAATAGTTGTGGAACCTCCATCCTGGAAGATACTCAAACTCAACTTGAGCAATCTGCCCTGTGGTGGCCTGGGACCAGAGACCTCCAGAGAACCTTTGCAGCAGGAATTACTCTCTGATTCTGTACATCAGTTGTGGTGACTTTGTGATACCACCACGTGTCTCTTTGCTCCTTCAGATGACATTCACAGAGACATCCTGCAATAGAAGTGTTTCTCGAGCACAAGTTCAGAGAACACTCCATGCTCTTCCCTAGGAAAACTGAAGGCTGTCACCGGCTGAAATGAAACTAATTGAAATGAACCTTCCCAGAAAACTTTACGTTCTTTGAATTTGTTTCCTTTAGTTGAAAAATACTCTCTTCTAGCTTGGTTAAAATGTGGATCCCAGTGCCAACAGAATCCTTAATAGAGAGCAGGTGGTGTTTTTGCTGAACAGTCTAGGGATTTTTTAGAAATTGGGGACTTTTTGGAGTTTTATTGTAATTCCTGCTAATGAAATGGCTGGATGGTTTTAGTAAGATTTCAAACACATCTTCTTGCCACAGGTTTGTGTTTCAGAAGAGTGGATTTTCTTGGAAGCGTAGTGAAGTTACAAGCACATACAGGAGTGCCTGATTCCCAGGAACACCTCATTCCCCTGGGGCAGCAGAAGGCAGGGATGTGCAGTTGTTCAGCATCTCTGAAATACAGGATGGGCCACTGTGCAGTGTTGCATTTCTTGCATTCCACGTGAGACTCTCAGAGGCAAAAGGAATGCAGCATCAGGTCTGTCACTTATTGTACTGGGTGTGCTGCCTGCTTGTGAGCCAGTGACAGGATAGTTGGGAGATCAGCTGTGTGAGGAGCCAGTGTATGTCTTACAGCTGGATATTGCTGCAGGGCTGGATTGCTTGGGGTTTTTTTCTTCAGCAGGGAAATGAATAAGGTGAAAGGAACCAACAGAGTCTCATCATTATGCAAAATATTTCTGTGCTGCAATTAACAGCAGCTATAATTTAAGCCCAGATTTAACATCAAAGGCAGTTGGGATAGAATTAGGATTTATGTTCATTACAATTCTGCCAAGGCTTCAGTGAGTCTGATTGCTGGAATTCCTCTTTTGCATTAGCCATCTTAAATCTGTCGACCAGCTCTCCTACATGCCTGGGTATGAGGGAGCTGTACTTGCCTCACATAATCATCTTGCAATTCATGGAAATGTTAACACTGGATGTTACATAAAAGTTCCAGAAGGCTTTGTTTCTGCTCTTCTTCAAAACAGCTGCCAAATTATAATTATCGTTCAGCTTCAGCGGGGAGTGTTAAAATGACAGTCAGCCTGTGAGCTGGAACCACATCATGGGAGATGGGGAAGGAGACACAGAAATGTTGGGGGGAAAATTTCCAACACACTCAGCCAGAAATGCCCAACATCCACTCACTCTGCTGAGCTCTGCATTTAACCACAAATCTTATTTACTTGGCCCATTAATGAAGACAGTGCTGGAACCAGCTCTAAATCCTCTAAGACACTTGTCAAAGGGAAGGCTGGTTCTTAGTAGTTTTCAGACTGAAGAAAGTTGCTAATGTTATGGAATATATAGATGATTATTCACATAATAAATGAAAGAATTGAGTAATAGCCATTATTTAGCAATGTAACAGGGCTTCAAGGGAATCAAGCAGCAAGACTGGCTGTTGTTTCATCTGTAGGAAACACAGAAATTCACGGATGTGGCAAAGGATTATTGTTTTGTACGTATTGAGAGACAATAAGCAACATGGTCATGATTCATGGAAAACCCTCCAGGCCCGTGGCCCAGGTTGTCAGGGGACTGTGACTTGTGACAGTGTCAGACTGGGATTAGACCCTTCTCCTCTATCTCACAGCTGCCTTAGATTTCATGAGAGATAAATCTTCTTAAGGGAGAGTTACATTTTAGGCCATAAACACTTTGTGAGGATACGTGCTGTAACCTAGTACTTTATTTTGTAAAATTACCCACAACCTTATTCTGTGCTTTGAGCTATGTGTCAACTCCTCTTAAATTTTTTTCTCATATTCTCAGGGTTGGGACTAAATTATTTTTAGCCATCTTGTTAGCAGTGCTTTTCCTCAAGGACCAGAGAATTAAGCAGAAATAAACCTCAATGAAATCAGTACAATTAAGCCTTAGAAGATATCATATTGTTTAAGATGATCCAAACTGCATCTGGCGAGTCAGCATGCTGAAATATGAGGATGGAGAACCTAAACAAAATTTTAAAAAGCAGCTTTGCCGCCCCCAAAAAGTTCTTTTTGTTTGGTTGGTTTTTTAATTTTTTTCTCCCCTCTTCCAGCCACAATTTCAACATTATCAGTGCTTGAAAATCACAAAGTGCCTTCATTACAGTGGAAATGTAGCAATACCATGTGACCAAAACATTGCAAGATTTCTCAGTGATCCGGGGTGGGAATTTCGTGTGTGGGGAACTGTTAATGCCTGAAACAATATAAAAATGTACAAACACATGCTGAGTGCGAAGTGCTTGTTGGACGAGGTAATTGGAAGAGTCAGTCCAAGGTTGCCTTTGGTCTAATGCTGTTTATGCCTTCACCAGAGACTGGAATTCTGTCAAGGAAGAAAATGAGAAGGCAGGGAATAAAACTAGATGACAGTGTTTTTTGACATCTTTAAAAAGATAGATAAAAATGACTTAAACTCCTAAGCATGGAGGGCTCCCAAAGTTATTATAACACTGCACAAGCTACTGCTAAACTGAGATTCCGGGGGTGTAACAGATTTTTCACTCCTTAAAAAGAGTAAGTGCAGAGAGGAGGAGTGTGTCTGTAAATTCATATTTGTGGGAAATCCTGAGTTATAGGTAAACTATTTTTACCCCATTACAAACTCTGATAATAGCCAAGGAAGCAGAGCCTGTAGCTCTCAGTGAGAGGGATTTTTTTGTTTTGTTTTGTTATTCCAAAGAAAAAACATCAGTAGCGATGTAATTTCAGATGGGAGATTCAATGGTTAAGGGCTAAGATCTGCATAATACAATGCCCTATTTGGGGCTCATAAACAGAACTGCAAAAGCTGCTGCTAAAGCAAATTCCTCCAACAGTGTATCTCTCTCTCCTCCCAAACTCTGGCTAAGATTAGCACGTGTGTCTGTTGGAGTTATTGCCACCTGTCCTAGTTCAGCTGAGACAGCCCTGTTTTCAGTGACTTCATCTCTAATATATGATGCATAATGTCCTATTTTCCTGAGCTGCAATTTCTAAAAGAAATATCCTGACTAGTTCACATCATCCCTGTGAGGTTTTCTCCAGGAATTTGGTTTAGTTTCTCCTAGGAGGACTGCCTGGTGAAATGTGCACTTAGCAGATGACTCTCCAGCACAAAATCCTGTGCTGCATTGCAGCAGTTGCAGCCTTGAGAAACAACACCAGTCTTATTCACATTAGTGAATTAACCACTCAGTAATACTGGCACTGTTTGATAGCGGTAGATGAAGGAATACGTTTCTGTAGGTGGAAGTGTGTTTAAAAATGAAAGTGTCAGATTGCCAGAAGTGCAGAAATGGAAATTTGGAGATGTTTAGGTGTTGAGGAAGTTTTAAGGATCTGGCACATTTAGTTTGTGGATCAGACACACGGCAGGATTAACCCCAAAGCTCTTATTATGGGTTGGAAAGACCAGACTCTACACAGGACCTAAATATGCTGTTGGTGCAACAGAGACCGAATGGGAACAAAGCAATGAAAATAAAGGAGTATTTGCTCATATAAAACCTGTGGCAGAATTATGAGGCCAAAGTATTCAGATGTATTCTTCATGCCACAGTTTAAATGCAACCTGAAATGTGTGCATAGTAAACCACAAACTTTATCAAGCTTCCAGAAATCTTACCTTCCACTCCAATTTTGCCATCCCCATCAGAGTCACCTGCAGCCAGAAAAGCCTTGGTCTCTGCCGAGGTGAGGGCTCTGGCACTCGAGGAGAAATTCTTCAGGAACAGCCTGAAACAGGACAGGGGAGAGTGCTGTGCTGGAGTTTTATTCTCTGAAATGTCCCATAAGGTAATGCCTGCTCTTATTATCTGAGGAAACCCACACAGATTCAAGGAAAGATAAGGAATTGTGTTTTATTTTTGAAAGAACAAGTTTCTTCTAGGACACCAGGCATGTTCAAAGGTTTACATTGCTTAAAGAAATAGAGCAGCTGAACAGTACTTACTGCAGCTCCTCTTCTTCAATGAAACCACTCTTGTCCTGATCAAGGATTCCAAAAACTTTCTTTATCTGATCAGGAGTTTTGCTGGATAAACCAACCATAGAGAAGAAAGACTTGTAGTTGAAGGAATCATCAGCTGGAAGAAACAGAATTCATTAAGTATTTTCTCTTGAAGTTTCTACTATTGTATGTATTCCTTTTGAATATGTATGTCTTTTCTTAAGCACCAGCCTGCTTCTCTTTCTCTTCTTCCCTGATGTAGCAAAAGAGCAGATACAGTGGATAATTTCCCTTTCTAATCACCCTGTGCCTGTGGTCACATATCCTTTCGACCAGTTTGAAATTTTCTGCTACAGCGCACATTCTGCTAAATCAGGATTTATGCAAAGTGTCACATGCAATTAATAATAAATATTTAGAGGGTGCTACTGTGCCCTACGAAGCAACTCCTGTAATTCTTCCCTGCTTTTCACTGAGTCCCTACTTAGGTGAAGAATTTGGTAGAAAAGTAAGTAATTCACAGACAAATCAGATCTTTGAATATTTGGAAAATGGGCTTGATCTTGCTGAGCAGTTCTCAAGAGGACTGAGGCTGGTCATTGTTTCACAAATGACACTTTGATTCTGCAAGCTAAGGCTTTTTTTTTAAATTGTGAAGGAAAAAGCTGACTATTTAAATATAAGTGTTTAACAGGTTTAAACATTGACAGAGTTAAGCCAGCTCTATCTGAAACTGTGGCCCTTTTAATTGCTGCTCACCACTTGTGAGATTTTCTGAATTTAAGGGGCTATACTGTAATGTAGCTTAGAAAGAGATCTCACAGGGAAGGAATCTAAGGGGAAAATGATAGGCATGTCATCTTAAGACATAAAAATGGTATGCATCTTCTGTCTGCAGAGCGACCATTCCTTACCCTGGCAGCTGGAGAGAGCAGATTCAATATCTTTAGCAGAAAGGATGTCAGTGATGGCCATTGTTGAACTGTAAAATAAATTAAATGTGAGCTACTTAGTCATTAAAATGACTTCTGTACCTCTTTCATGACTCTATTTGAAGTTGCTGCTGTGACAGTATGTGATAGGGGAGACATTATTCATCCCCTGGTAAGTGGAGCACAGCGTGGCAGATGAACAGATGTCTGAGCAGGTGCTTCCACTGAAAGCTGGGTAATGAGGGAGGAATTCTGCCTGCGAAGCGTGGGGCTTCGGGAGGATCTGCTGCCTGTGCTGTGCTGGGAGAGAGAATCAAAGGTGTCTAGCACCACAAAACTTCATGACTTCTGTGTGGGTTTTCCTGGAGGTGGATTATTACTCAAATAAAACCAGCAGATATTTACAGCACACATAAAAGATAAGGCTCGGAATGTCCCCGAGAACTATATCTGGAATAAGCGTAATTGGAATTTTAAAAAACCCTAGTATTATTATCAATAGATTTAGAGATCTTTACAGAGAATGAAAATATTAGTGTAGAATTAGTAATAGTAATTTTACTCATTTCAAGGAAGTGTAAATTTGGAGAATAGGTTCCTCCTCTGTTTAGTTACAACAATGACTGTGTTGCTGGGCTGCTGTGCCACTGAAAGGCTACATTTCATGAGAGCTTCATAAAAAAGTTTCAAAGTATATTGTGTGGTTGTTTTATTTTTTGCATTCTATGTGACAATAAAAAACTAGATTTTTATCCAGATTTTGCACTTCAGTATATATTGCTGTGTTTAGAACAGCAGTATTGAGACTTAATATTCATTCTTAGTAGAGTGGAGGAGGTGTTTTCTTCTGATACAGCAGCATTTCATTTGAGAAGAGATACCCTTTGTCCCCCTCAGCCACCAACAGCTGCAGTAGTTTGCCAGTGTAATACAGATCACTTAACAGAATGCTATAATGCCTGAATTTCTAATAAGTTTTTTATGAATTTCTAATAAGTTTTTTAGTGTGAACATAACATTGATGAATTTACAGTTTGGTAAACTGCTCCTACCAGTGCAGACTGGTTACAATTTAAAACTTGTAACATTACTGATAATTCATATTAATGAAAGAAGGGGAACTAAGGCATAGAAAAGTTATTCTTGAAAGCCACAAGAGAACACAAATATCGTTTCATTAATCCCTAACTGGTCTTCAACAACATCGTTCTTCCTGTCCAAGCACAGAAAGCACCATTTTCATGAGAAGGAATCCACTCCTGGAACCTGTTTATAGTCTGTGCACTGGTTTGAGATCTACACGCAGGTTTAAACTTTGCCTAAAATATGAAATGGCTGCATCTGTACCTGTTGGTTTGCAGCAGAGGGAAATGTCAATCGTTTTAGTCCCTTTCTGAATATCTCAGAAAGTGTAAGGAAGCAATAGGACAAATTCCCACTGATGGCAGTGGCTACTTCTCCACCTCAGGCAGCTGAGTTACTTTTGTTTTACTAGCAATCATTTTGTCCCAATTGCTTCTTGTGCAAAATTCCTCCTCTCAGCACTAGACAAGATAGTTTGGAGCTCAGCCATTCACCTAAATCTCCCTGCTGACCGAATTAAAAACAGAAAAAAGTTGAAGTCTAAAAATTGCAGCATTTTTTACAATGAACATTGTAAAAATGTTCCATCCTTGTTCCTTGTTCCATCCTTGTTCCATCCTGTGATCCAAATGCTGATTCTATTCTATGTTAGCTTGTAAAGATACAACAGACTGGAAGCTGAGATAAGAACAGGTATTTTAATTGCACAGGCACTTTCCATTTAGGGAGCATTTGCTTTTGTATTTCTTTTTCTGAAAGCAGAGGATCTAATCAGCTTACCTTTGTGGTCTCGGCTGGATAAGGAAGCAGTCAGATTGGGAGGAAGGTACTTGCTGTGTGTCTCCAGCAGAGCTGGACTTGCATATATATACTTTAAGTTGTATACCATATACAGATTTTAGATTTCAGCGTCACGAAGGGGGAATGGTGTCAAATGAACTTGCCTAACTAATCATCTTGCACTATTTTTATCTCAAGAGAATACATATGATATTTGCAAATGAAACAAGATAAGTGGCCAGATAGACAAAAAGAAGAGTCATGTTAAATTTCTTCTGATTTAAGCAGAAATCACCAACTTCTCTGTATGATGTAGGGCAAGAAACCCCCCCACTATCTGATACGCTTGATCTGAGGAGTCAGATGAAATGAAGCACAGTAACTTCTGAAGAGATGACTTTAATGAATGTTTAAATATGATGACGTTTTATTGATATGGTTTGGAGCTGGCTCCCTGCCAAGTCTCCACACCTTACCACAAGAAGTTCCCCCACTCTCACCCCAAACCAAGGGAGAGGACAGAAAAAAAAAAAACAACCGAGAAAACCGAAACGAGAGAGACAGCTAAAGCAATATATATAAATATATTTACACTTATATTACAGTTATGTACAGTTGAAATATATATACAATTTCACAAGGAAAAGGGAAAGGGAAAGGGGAAGGGAAGAACAAAACCAAAATAAAATATATATATATCCCGATCAATAGCCCAAGGTCTATCAACTAAAAGAATTAGCAAAGAATATCTTACTACTCTCCTTGGGACAAGGGAGCGTCCTGCTGGAGCGACTGCCGGCAACCTCCGCCTCCCAAGGTCAACAAGGCCTTACCAGGCCTCACTCTCCAAGCCGACAGACTCAACAGCAGGGAACCTGCACCTCCAAAGCTGCTGGAAGGAAAGAGGGCAAAGGCCTTTCCTCCCTTCTTCTTATACCCCGACTTACATAAAAATCGTAGGGAATACCGGGTAAATCTGGGCACTTCCTTGGTTACAAACTGGTCACCAAGGAAGACCTAGACCAAACTACCACAGTTATCTTATTTTATCTTATCTTATCTGTGTGATAGAGTTTCATTGTTAGAGCTCTAAACAAAAAAAAATTAAAAGTATCCTGTTTAAGTATTGTTTGTGTAGCAAACCATTTAGGGAAATGATAGCCTTGTTGATAGCCTTCTTGATATCCCAGAATGTCTGATCTGGTGTTTTGAAAAAATATCATACAGTCACTTTGTTGCTACAGGAGGTAAAATAATATTATGTCGATCCATCGGAACAGTTGGTTGGGGGAGGGTTTTTCATCTGTTTCCAGAGAAACTCTTACAATTCTGCAAGGTTCTGACAACCTGTTTAGTTGGGTATGTGTGAAGCAGAGGGGTTGTCATCTACCCAGCTGTCTCAGAGACAAAAGTCCCTGAGCTCTACATGAAAGATCTTTGCTTTCAGAATACAGAGAAAAATTTTGATAGCAACATCACTGCACAATATGTGAAGAGTTTCTTTGTACTTTGTCAGCCTGCCTTCAATCTCTATTTTTTTTTAATTTTTTTGGCAGTTGCTGTTTCCAAAAGTCCCTTCCTGCAGTTGCCTTTTTCATAGAAATATTTTGGTCATCTCAATTTCCTTCCATGAATGTTGTAGCTTAACTGAGTGAGGAGCCTGTCAGCTTGGATCTCACTTGTGTCTCCAGGCAGCAGAACAGTGAAAGACAAGTCATATGGGTGTCAGCACAAGGGATCATTATGGCCAGGACTGAGGGGTGGCGAGGGATGACAGTGCAATTGGCATCACAGCTTGAGGTGGTGGCACAGGAAGAGGTGACAGTGCAGGGACTGTCTCAATGTCAGAGACAAGGCATCTTTTTTCCAAAGCACTTCCCCCTAAGATGGAAGGCAAACCCAGCCAGTCACTGAAGCCAACCACTAATAAATCAAACGGTCAGACAGCAAAGTGGCAAATGGGGGGTACCTATGAGACCTTAGTGCATCCAACACTGAGGCAGGTGATGAAAAAGTGACAAAAGACCAGTGAAAATGATTCTGTGTGTGGAGGAGCTGTTATTTCATTTACAAACATAAAAAAAGTGATTGCTACGAGTTTTTTTCTTTTTACAAATTGTGCATGTATGTCCTCTGTGAAAAAGTTTCAGACACCGATAATTCTTATTCAGGGAAGAGTCATTGGTTGAGAATGGCTGTGGAAGATTTCAGCTTTCCCCATTTTCTGAATGGGTTCTTCACCAGCTGACGCTGAAAAATTCCAAGAAGAATTTGATGGATAGATATTTAATACTGGCTCTTGTTGTCACTGGTGACATCTGGTAGAAGGGATACAAATATCACCTTCCCCCCTCAAACTCTTCTAAGAAATTATTCCAAATGGGAAAAAAATTCCCCTCCCTTTTACACACACCACCCTTTTCTCCCCCTCCAGTTTGGGAAATTGTCCACATAGTGCCAACAACTGATGTGCAGGACGTGGAGCATCCAACACAAAAACCGATGGCACGATATGACCTAATGAAGCTAAGTTAAGAGGAAGGCCAAATTCTGCTGAAACTCTTGGACTGCAGGAGTCTGCACGGGAATTTGGTCTCTGGTGTCTGTTTCAGAGAATGCATTTGATTTTAGATGCAATGGCTTCTCATTTTGCCCAGAGCTAATTCCACATATGTTAACCCCTCGCCCCCACTCTTCCCTTTAAAAATAGCATTGATTGCTGTTATTTCCCTTAATGCCTGTGGACTGTTGCCATTAGTTTGAACTTTAGTATGTGAAGCACATAAGGATGCAGTCTGTAAAAGTGTGCTTTGTTTTCTAAGAGGCTTCAGCGAGGTGATTCCTTTGTGCCCTGAGGTTTTAAGGATAAAGCATGTGTGTCAAATAATTTATGGCTCTAGTCTGTTGAGCTGTATTCAGACTCCAGCAAATTTTGGAGTCCCTTTTGCAGTGAGATTGGAGGCACTAGAGATCCAGAATATGTGCACTGATGAAATGCACAGGGATCATGTAACTATTTACAACCAGCCTCCAATCACCATTTTCTTTACAAGCCCTGCATTAGAGATTGCAAAAACATCTGTCTGGTCACTTTTACTTTCTTAAATCAAATACTGTTAATAACTTTCCAAGTTATTGGAAGGGAAGTATGAAAAAGTAAAGAGAAAATATCCCTCTTGGACCATCAGGTTACCACTAAAAGCAGTTTTAAACCCTGGGATTTGGCATTTCCCATTGCTCAAGGCTCGTTGCCTTTTGCAGGCATGGTCTTGTTTTATTCTTCCCATTTTCAATCTTAATTCTTCTGACACTTGAAGTTACCTCTCCAGGTTGAAAAGCTGTATTTTAGATCGTCATAAGTTCTGGGATTGTTCTATAATCTATTCTTGTCATTCTTCTTTGAGTGTTGATGTAAATTATGTGTGCAATGGAATAACAAAAGTGCAGCTAACAGTTGTGAGTGCCTGCTTTAATTTAAATAAGTGTGACCTTGTATATGCCTGATAATTTTCAGATGAATGAGATGAATGCTCCTGATAGGGGTATCCATAGTCACGAGTCAAGGAACAGGAATCACCTTACATAATGTGTTTAACCTATTGTCAAATGACATGTGAATAGAGAAAGTGGAATATTCATTCAGCTTGTAATTTGCTTTGGGAATATATGAGATGAAAGAAATAGTATGAATGTAATTTAGTGTAATTGTATGAATGCATCATGCTCCAGTCATTTGAGGAATGTAGCTCTTGGAGTGATCTGGAAATCTTTGTCAGTACTTCTAGAATTAAATTACTTAATCTCCTGTCTGTAGATACCTCGTATGTAGCCTCCACAGAATGCTGAAAAAAGAAAAAATGCCAAAACAGTTGCTGTGGAGGGAGGAGGCTGTACATGGGAAATACACCAAATAACATCTGGTTTATTTTTGCAAACTTGAATGAATCATTCAAGTCATTCAAGTAATTTAGTTTTCACCAGCTCTCATTCTAGTGTGACGTGGGTCCAACCTCTGATGTAGATTTTCAGGGATTCTGAAAATTTATGATGTAACTTTTCAGCTTTAAATGCCCATTAAAGTGTAAATGCACGAAACACCTCCAGTCATATTTTTCTTACATGTGTAAAGAATAACTTTTAAGCCAACTGGATTGTTTACAATTTCTGGTTCTGCATATATGAAATTTGCAAGAGGAAGTTTTAATCATGATTCTTAAATTTGAAAGGAATATGGTCCAGATATAAATTCTATGTGAATTCTCAACCTGTAGCTTGAAACTTTTGGTCCTGAATTCAACCTTTCCAGTTCAGTTCCATTTCTAAAAATGTCCATTCATTGATGCAAAAAAAAAAGACTTTTTTTTTGAAGAAAGAAGTTCTCATAGACTGATTTCTGAAATGATAGATACCCAGGTCTGTTAAATATGATACAATCATTCATAAACAGACAAGATACTTCAACCTCCAAATAACTCTCTCCCTAGTTTTAAAATTACTTACAGCAAGTGTCAGAAAGCCTAGAGGATCAATAATATTCCTGTTTCAATTCTGAAGCAGAAAGCTCACTATTTTTGAAAATACCCTAATAAAAGTGCCAATAACAAGGTATGTGTAGGATAATAATGGTTTTTGAGTAGAAAATAAAGCTACTTCTGTCAAGACAACCTCCTCTAGCTAAGCTGGAAGGAAAAATATATGCTGAAAACAGAACTTCTGTTCAATATTTGATCTACTATATTCTGTTCTTGAACTATGGTCTTCAACTCCCGAGTGGTAAAATCCCTAAAGGGGATCCTTGTTACAGGAATTGTAACTTTAGTCTGTGTGTTTACACTTTGTCGCCCAGTGCAGTCCTGCTCCATGACTGTGGGTTATAAGCACTATAAATAATCCTCACTTGCACCAGGCTCTCAAATATAGATGTGTTTGAAATGAACTCAGATGTTTTTCAGCCTCTATCACACGGAGTAAACACCAGAAACACAGACAATTCCTTCACTTGGACAATTGCAGGAGCATGAAGCAAGAATTGGGTCACCATCCAGTGCTGATATTGCTGAATAAAGCAGGGCCTTCAATTCTTCTGGCAGAGCTGCTT